ATGTTGAGCAAAGAGGAGCTGTCTCGTTACGGCACAGCGACTCTCACGCCCGTGTTTCTGGACAGAGTGTTCCAGGAGTATCTCACCTACGACGGTGAAATGGTCAGAACTCTTTACATTTTTATAACTGTGTTGATGTGAGCAGAGAAATCCATAAATGTTGATAAGGAATATGAATTCAGTAACGTCTGTTGACGATCAACACACACACACACACACACACACACAGTTGTAACACATACATCGGTCTGATTCTGGTCCTGGTCCTGGTCCTGGTCTGTTCCTTCAGGACTATAAGACCTACCTGGACTTCGTGTTGGCCTTGGAGAACAGGAAGGAGCCGGCGGCGCTGCAGTACATCTTCAAACTCCTGGATATGGAGAACCTGGGATATCTGAACGTCTTCTCCCTGAACTACTTCTTCAGGGTACGTGCCTTCATGTCTATATATATATATATATATAAATATATATATGTATATAAATATATATATATGTGTATGTAAAATATAAATATATATATATAGGTAGATTTGTATTTGTACATACATATATGTATATATGTATGTACCTCAAGTAATTACTCATGTCAATGACAATAAAGAAAGTCAAAGTCTACGATCAACCACATATCCCAAATAGCGCCTCCTGTGGCAGCCTGCGTGTGTTACAGACTCACACCGTGGGACGAACCACAGCTTGAACCACCGATCTATGATGATGTCACAGAAATCTGTTTTTATTTAGGTCCATGAGAACAGTCAGTGGTGCAGCAGTACATCATCTGCATACTACTACTACCAGTACTACTACTACTACTACTACTGTAAACCACCTGTGTACTGTGTACATCGACGGTCAAACGTGATGTTTTTATTTCTGTTTAAGGCCATTCAGGAGCAGATGAAGCTGCACGGTCAGGAACCAGTGTCCTTCCAGGATGTTAAGGTCTGCTGCGCACACACACACACACACACACACACACACACACACAGAGGTGACCGGTGAGGCCTCCGACTGAACTCCCGCCTCCACAGGACGAGGTCTTTGACATGGTGAAGCCCAGAGACCCGTGCAGGATCACGCTGCAGGACCTGGTCAACAGTTGTCAGGGCGACACGGTCTCCAGCATCCTCATCGACCTCAACGGCTTCTGGACCTACGAGAACAGAGAAGTGCTGGTCACTAATGACACCGACAGCAGTAACGGCGCCGACCACGATGACACGTGAGAGTCAGCGTGGCGTCCGTTCAGTGGAGACCGACTGGGTTCTAACTGAGGAACACGGTTGGTGTTCCGCTTTATTTCACTCCATTAAAAAGGACTTCATGTTTGTATAAATGTTTTCATTTTGTTTCTTCTTCCCTTGAATGTCTGCAGCAGTTTGAATGAGTGATTTCTCTCTGTCGCCACCGTGTGGTTTCAGCCCAGGTTAGTGACGTAGCCGTGCTTCATGAATCGGACGAGTTGGCGTCAAATATTACAACATTTTTATTGACAAAATAGAACTCTGTACAGTTCATACAAACGATTCCCAGTTGAATGTTGGTTCAAACAAACAGTTCGACGTTTGAAGACCGTCCGTCTCAGTCGCTCAACAATGACCGACCGACCGAGCCACACCTTAACGACTCTGTCTGTGTTTGACCTGAACAGAAAAACAGACGTCAGTGTTGGGTCTGTGACCTGGACCAGGTGTCTGGACTGATCTGGACTTCAGGTCCAGTTTGACCAGCGGTTAAACACAGCCAATAACGACACGCGAGTCTGACGTTGACTTCATGGATCTTTCTGGGAGTTTCCCCCGTTCCCTTCATCACTTTGTAAACATCTAAAACTTCTTACAAACTTTTCCCTTAAGTTAAACGGTCTACAGACTGAATGAGCAGCGTAGCTTTGGCTACGAACGCCATCACTTCCCACTAAAGCTTGAATTCTATTTTACATCCTTTAACGTGTACAAAAAGCTGTCGTTTCACAGATAAGGCTAATGTAGCGAGAACAACAGTCGCAATAATCCATCCCTGAACCTGTGTTAATGTTTATGAAATGATATAGAAACTACGGTTATGTGATAACTTCATTAGTACGGACGAAACGACGCATCGTGAATGGGTTACAAATCTTTTTACAAATCTGTGACAATTCTCATTGGTTGAAATAAAACTGGTCAGACCATGACACTACACACTCCTGTCCAGTAGGTGGCAGTGTGCTCCTAAAAACCCACTATCAAACCCAGTCATCAGGTCCTACGTAGGCTGAGAGACGTTCAGGTGTTGGA